CGACGAGGGCCTCGCGAGCGGAGCGAGCGAGGTCCGAGGCGGCGGGCGTATTTGGTGAGCCAAGTGACGACAGGGTGAGCCGTTGCTTAACTGATTCAATTTAACCAAGATTTTAGATTTTGAAAACAAATAAGTGAGAGCACAACTGTGCAAAAAATNCCCGCCGACGAGGGCCTCGCGAGCGGAGCGAGCGAGGTCCGAGGCGGCGGGCGTATTTGGTGAGCCAAGTGACGACAGGGTGAGCCGTTGCTTAACTGATTCAATTTAACCAAGATTTTAGATTTTGAAAACAAATAAGTGAGAGCACAACTGTGCAAAAAATTAGAAGGCCACAGCCCAAAGCGGCGAGGTCTGACGACACTTGGGCATTGTGAACGTCCACCGACTCGCGAGCGGAGCGAGCGGGGCCCGAGTCGGTGGGCGTTCACAATGCCCAAATGTCGTCAGGGTGAGCCACTGGCCAAACTTTTAAGAAATGTTAGCGGTGCACAGTTAAAGTAGGAGTGAGCGAAGCGAGCTCGACTGAGCCCTTGTTATTTTAAAAAAAAATGTTTGATTAAACTGATTACTTTTAATTTAATATTTTAAAAACAAACCGCATTTAAAAGTTATTAGTTAATTAAAAAACTGATTGATTGTTTTTGAGTGGCTACTTTATTTTGACATATTGAATAACAAATCAATCACATTATTAATAAAGTCTTGATAAAGTATTTGAGCACTTAATTTAACTGATAAAAACAAGAAAATTTTATAAAAATTACTGTTGTTTTTAACAAATCTACGTTAACATGACAAAAATAATGTATTTTTATTTTGTTTTGTTTTTATTAAACGTCAAAAGTAGTTTTGTTTTGTGTAGCTTAAATAATAACAACACTGATTTTGATAAAGAAGTAATATCATTAGAAAAATTAATCAACGAATATATTTCAAAAAATGCTTTGCCATCTGTTGTAATGGGACTTTCTGTTAATGGTTTGACTAAATACAGAGAGGCATTTGGATTTGCAGATTTAGAAAACGCTGTTTCTGCAACAATACAAACTCATTACCGGCAAGCAAGCATTAGCAAAACTTTTACGTCGGCAATTTTGGCTGAAATCGTTGATAAAAAGTTAGCCAATTTTGATGACGCACTCAACAAACATCTTAACTTTTCAATATTTCCTCAAAAAACTTGGAAAAGTCAACCAGTAAAAATCACATTGCGACAACTACTTTCTCACACTGCCGGTCTTTACTCAACAAAAGACAATGAAGAGTTTGCCATTGTTAAAGAATACCACAATTTGACTGAGTATATTGCAAAACATAAAAACAAACCTTTGCTTTTTGAGCCCGGCCACGGCTACAGCTACTCAAATTATGGATTTCAAGTTGTTGGCGCCGTCATTGAAGCTATCACTGGACAGTCATTTTTGAAAGTTATGACCGATTTTCTTAAACGCCATCATTTAGATAAAACTTCCTTAGAGACCAGGCAATCTTTGATTAGAAATGCCGCTCAATACTACTACTTTAAGAAAGACCACTTTTATGAGAACATTCCCGCGCCTCTTTACGATGATTTAGTTATTGCGGAAAGCAACTGGGCATCAGGTGGATTAGTCTCTACAGTAGATGATCTCTTAAAATGGGGCAATCTTTTCATTGACTCCTTCAAAGGAAAAAACAACTGTATGTTTGTGTTTTTTAAATATTTTAAAAACTAACAACGTATTTTTATTATTAATCTAGCGTTTTTGAAACCTGAAACACTGAAACAGTTGTGGACTCCCCAAACGGTCAACCTGTCAAGTGTAGACCACCACAATGACTACTGCCTGGGCTGGCACAAAGTTAGCCTGAACAGGAAAAAGTATCCCACAAATCGATACCGTCATTACTTCAATCACAATGGCGGCTTGTACGGTGTCTTCACCAGCCTAATGGTCTTTCCCAAAGAGGAAATAGTCGCAGTGACGTTCATTAACAAGGGTGAAATGCCCATTGATCCACAAGTGATAATGCACCAAATGATTGAGCGGTTAGTTCCATTAGTGTAATTGAGTAAAAAAGTTTTCATTTTCCTCAAATCTTCTTTTTGTTTGATTAAAAAACATATCAAACTTTTTTTGTCAAACTTTTTTTAACCTGGTAACCACTTTTATATTGATCAAAAAAAGTAACCGTTACTAAAAAAATGTTGTAACTATTTTCCAGCTGAAGACGTCAGTAGTCAGTCTGTTTGCAGCAGTAGTCGGGCGCCCTTCTCGCCGATCATCATCGCCGCGGCTAGGGTGTTTGCATTGGGAATGGCCGGCATGACGGAGGCGTCCATCACCCGCAGCCCCTGCACACCGCGCACTCTGAGGTGTTCGTCGAGTGCACTGGCGTTGCCACCACTGTCATTGCCCATCGGCACGGTGGCACAGTCGTGCCAGTCGCTGACCGTCACCGACTGGGCGACGCAGGCCAGGTAGGTGAAGCACCGACTGAGCGGGCGGTCCGGGCAGAAGGCACAGCCGGGCACCGGCAGCGCCGAGTAGGTGAACAGCGACCGGGCGGCGGGCGTCTCGAAAAGCGCAAAGCCGATGCTCATCGCGGCGACCATCGCCGCCAGGTCCTGGCGGTCGCTGAAGAAGGCCGGGTCGATGAGGGGCGACTGGAGGGGGTCGCGGGAGGCGAGGCGAACCGTGCCCCTCGACAGCGGCCGGTAGTTGAGGAAGGTGAGGTAGAGGTGCCGTTCATTGTTCAGGTACTGCCGCAGGTACTGCCGCCACTCTGTTTGCCGGTCGGCTCGGTAGTTCTGCACGGCCGCCTCCAGCAGGGAGTCGGTGAAGACGGCGCCCGAGGTGAGCACCAGGTAGCCGTCCGGCCAGTCTCGGTCGCCGCTGACTCCCGTCGCAATGTACATCATCGCCACCGGTCGCTGGCGAAGCGGCCCACTCGAGTGGACGTAAAAGTCGTAGAGGTTGGGGATGGTCAGCCCTTGATTGTCAATGTTCCGCAGCAGGGTAATCTCCGACTGGTTGACCAGCGAAAAGTCCATCGGCACAGAGGCGTGCGACTGCATGCGGGAGCCCACCGCCGGCAGGTCCGCCAGCACGGAAATGCCCAGTGAGACTAGGTGGTCCCTGGGACCGATTCCGGAGAGCATCAACAGCTGGGGCGAGTTGATGGCCCCCGCCGAGAGGATCACCTCGCGCCGGCAGTACACCTGATAGGTTTGGTTATTATTATCACCCCTGATAATTCGGTACTCAACCCCGATGGCCCTTCTCTGACCATCAAAGAGTACCCGGGTAACGTGAGAAAATAGCTGAACACGGAGATTGCCCCGCCCTGAGTTGTCTTCAATGTAGGCAGAGCCGGTGCTGCGGCGGGTCCAGTTGGTCGCCGACTGCGTCACCTGCGGAATGGAGAAGCCGTATTGCGCCTCACTGTTCCCGTAGTCGGCGATGGGCCAGCCGCTGGCGTTGACGATCGCCTGCCAGCGCAGCTCAAACGGATCCGGGTTCGGCACGGTGGACACCTCCACCGGACCGGCCGTCCCGTGGAGGCCTCGGTTCGCCGCCACCACCTTCGGGTCGGTGTTGTTCTCTGAGCGCATAAAGTAGGGCAGCACGTCCTCGTAGCCCCAGCCCCGGGCGCCGAACTCTCCTGCCCAGCGGTCGTAATCGCGACGATTGCCCCGCGTGTAGACGTTCAGCGTCTGCACGTGAGATCCGCCCAGAACTTTGCCGTAGGGAAGGGCCGCCGTTCCGCTGGCAAATGCAAAGGCTAGGAAGATATATTCGGCTAAGTGATTGCAAAAACAAAAACAAAAACAGAAGGACTTTTGCAAATAAAACTCACAAGCACTTTGCTGTCGTACAGTGCTGTACGGCCAAACTTCGTCTGCCAAATCAATGACACCGGACATTTCTGAGAAACATGATAAAAAAAGTTACATTTTAAACGTAAAACAACCTTGTTGTAAATTGTGCAAACAACCTCTCAACACAGGTATTGGTCCACCCGCTTCGAGGAGCAACACCGAAACTGATGAATTTTCCGTAAGTCTGCCTGCGACGATGCAGCCGGCGGTACCACCGCCAACGATAATGTAGTCAACATTAGCTGAAGATGGCGATGATGAAATGGCTGCATTGTTGTTATTAATCACTCTATTGTGCTGTAGCTGTCGTTGCAGTGTGATCAGCGCCACTGTCAACAGCTGTGTGGAGAGGGAAACAGACATTTTGTAACTGGGTAAATAATGTTAGAAAAACTAAAATGAATTTAAACTGAAAATAAGGTTTTAAACATTTTTTCAAAATATCAAAATATGCTGGTTTCATACAACCAGCATATTTTTGTTTTGAATTTTTACGTTGTTTTATATTTGAACTCAGATTAACTAATGTTTATTAATAAATGCCTTGAAATTATATGTTTTAAAGTAATTTTTTGTTTATTTATGTAGCAGTAAATTGCGTACTTTTAGTACAGCTGAGACAGTTGTACTATTACATTAATTTAATTTTTTAACAACACAAATTAAAATTATTACATCTCATTAATTGCATTCATTATCAAGTTAATTTTCACTCATTGTTTTCATAATCCAATCCAAATACTTGGACACTCGTGTGTACACGTTAGGGACAGGAAAAGTGCTGCATTCTGAGAAACTGGCTACTCCAATCAATTGCCATTGATTTTTTAAATTGTCATACGTTATCAGCGGTCCACCATTGAAATGATTGCAGGCCAGTCCAGTGGAGAGTTGTCCACGTGAACAGATGTTTTCTTGAGTCACACTTTTAGCTGGAACGACACACTCAGACTGCTTTAGAATAGTAACATTGGTAGTGAGCAACTCCTCTACAACTTTCTGTTTGTTCCAACCACTGATGGTAGCAATCTTAATCAAATTGGCTTGTTCATCAATGTCCCTTTCCATTGCAGGCAGGCAAATGGCACTAACGTGTGCAGAAACATTTCCAAATGGAAGCTCACTGGGCAACTTTAAAAGTGCAATATTTGAATTCAGCGTCAGTGGATTGAAATTTGGATGAACAACTATTTTGTTAATTTTTCGAGAAAACTCAAACTTGTCAGGATTTTTCAGTTTGTAAGATGCTAAAACGAAAAATAAAACTTTACAATAAAAAATTGTAACTTTAAAAACTTGTAAATTTACCAAAACGTAATGTAAACTTTTCCATTTGAGTTTGGTTGACACAGTTGACCGAAGTAATGACCCAGAATTTGTCAATGATACTAGCTTCACATGTAATAGGGTTTGGAACAGCACCAGGTTCATCGGTTTTAATGATAACTTGCCAAGGAAATTCAAACATTTCCGCTGTTTGATCCACTCCGCCATATGGAACCACTTGTTTTGGCTTCCCTTTAATTCCACATTTTAATGGAACAGGTGGTGGCCGTGTTGTAGTCGTTGTTGTCGTTGTTGTAGCTGCAAATATAAAGTAAACAGTTTAGATCAAAATTTTGTTAATTTTTAAATAAATTACTATAAGGATCAGGTTTACTTGTAGGAGGAGGATATTGGGTGGGATAGTTGTGGTGGCAATTTTCATTGTTGTAGTTGTTGTACCAATTGTATTGACCGTTTCTATAGTTTAAATGAACATTTGGGATTAAAAATCCCAAAAAAATAATCAAGACAGAAAAAAACTTCATTTTTATTAATTAAATTTTTTAATAACTGTTGAATAATTGAAAAAAATCAATTTTTATATCAAATTGCAAAATAGGTCAGTTATTAATTAAAAATCACTCATTCAGGTCAAGGAATTTGTTTCAATAACTTTATTAGAGTAAAGCTCAAAACTGCACTAGTAGCCTTCAATTGTTTTCTCAATCCATTTTGCGAAATAGTGTACATTGGTGTTGATGGCCGGCCTTTGAGTGGCGCAACCTTTACCAAAAGACACTAAAGCCTGTAGGTATTGCTGACTAGTAGAATTCAAATCACAGTTTGTTGAGCCTTCAACAGCAGCAGCAGTAGAAAGAGCCGGTGCGCCACTGTCTCCAAAACAGGAGTCTGTCATTGGAGACCAAGTGCACAGCCATCCAGAGTACCTTTTAAAGTTTTTCTTTTTTGTCTTAATGCCAAACCGATAAAGACACTTCTTAATTGGAAGCGTACTGAGGGTGGTCATTTTGAGGTGAACACTCTTTTGATTCTTCTCCGTCCGTCCCCAGCCAAAAACGGACATGTTCCGGGGCACCTGAGCGGAACAGTTGGTCTTCCAGAGCACCGGCTCGATGTGGTGAATGGGCTGGGAAAGCCTGACCAAAGCAATGTCATTGAACATGCTGCCCGCTTTGTCGCGGTAGTAGCCGGGGTGAACGACTATTTGCTCCACTTTGTAGAGGCGATGCAGCAGTCGATTCGGGGAGCCAAAGCCGATGCGAAAGTGTTCAGGACGGCGATTGGCCGTGGTGGTGGTGGTGGTGTTGGTCATTGCCGGGGTCGTTCCATTTCTCCTCCGACTGAACATGTGCGCCGTGGTCAGCGCCCAGCGAGGCTCGATGAGCACCGCCGTGGCGAAAAGTCGGTACCAGGCGGAGGTGCAGTTCCAGTACCACATCAGCTGACACCAGAGAAAGCTGATGGAGAACTGACGAAAGGGCAGCGCTCGTTGGGTGTAGAGGCCGCCGATGAAGGCGTACTGCTCACTGCCGGAGTGGCTGTCCACATAGCTGCCGTTGATGATGCCCCTCACTGGGGAGACGCAGAGGGAACACAAGGATAAGGTCAAAAGTGGTACAAGTGCTGGCAACAATTTCATTATTCAGCAAACAAACTAGTAGGCACAAAGTGGCAGTTTTTTATAATAAAATTATAAGCTCAAACAATGAAAGTTTTTTTCAGCTGATTCGATCGAACTTGGCAGAAGTTGGCAGTGAATGACAAAAGCAGACTGTGTTTGCCTTGTCAACTGAACCTTTCTTTTTTAACAGAATCCTTCGTTCTAGCAAAGTACCTCCGCCTACGTCAAGTGATCACTAAACAGGTTAGCCTTCGAGGGCATCACTTAATCAGCTGGCTGCTTTAGCTTTGCGTTGGTAATCGCTTTCAAATGATCAACGTAAGTACTAAACCATTTAATCTGACTACACTGGTCGATTGCTAATTGTGCACATTAGCATATTCATTACGGTATTAGCAAAGTAAGGGTGCAAGCATTCACTATTTTCTTTTTCTAGACAAATCATCAATCTCAAAGCTGGCAAACTACTGTAAAAGCTAAACTACAACTCAATTGGTGATTAGACATTGACTTGTAGTATGTCAGACAAAAATGCATATTTAAATTTTTTATTTTTGGTAATCTTGCTGACGTTTATGATAATGCAATGTTGATAATTTTTTTAAATTATCTAAAATTTTTTGTTTTTGTTTTCATTATAAAATCAAAGTGTTGGAAATTCCAATAAAGTCATTTAACTATTTGTTTTTTTAAATTCCGGTGCAATTTGTAATTAATATTTTTCAAACCATTTTACACAACATATTTTTGTCTTAAAAACAAAAAATTTTAAAATTTAGTTTACACTCATTTACCAAAACCAAGTTACCAGTAAAAAATAAATGTGATTTAATTGTGAAATGTGTTTAATTTTTGTAATTTTATTAACAAAAATATCTTTGTTTAATTTCAATGCACAAAAAATAATTTGTAGTCTATGATTAATTGTAAATGAAAATTTATTTTTTAAACAACGTCAATTCAATGATTCAATTATTATTTATTAAAAAACTTTATAAATAATTTTACCAAATAATCAATTCTGTACAGACTTCTTTGAAAACAATATTTTATAATTAAAGAGTGACAACAAATTGTCCCCAAAATTTTCACATACTCAAAAGTTGTCGAGTAGCACATCGTTGGAAAGGTTAAATTGCCCTGATTACTTATATGTAAATATCTAAATGGAGCCCAGAGCAGTTCTTGAGAAAACCGGGTTCAAAGTTGACCAAAATATGCTGTTTAGCGACAACACTGCAGCTTTATTCCGTTAGATGGCGAAAGCAGCAGCAGGTGAAGCACAGCCAAAGGTACAGTTTAGACCAGGTTTTCTCGGAAACCGTTCGGGGCTCCATTTAAATTTTTACATATTAGTAATCAGGGCAATTTTACCTTTCCAATGATGCGCTACTCAACAATTTTTGAGTACGTGAAAATTTTGGAGACATTGCTTATGTGAATTTGTTGTCACTCTTTTAGCAAAAATTAAGAATTGAATAGACAAAACTAAAGTTCAAATGTTTCAAAAATTAACTTAATGCTATTATGATTTGGCTCAATTTGCTAATTCTCTAAACAAATCATACAAAATATATTGGTGGTTTTATGTAGATATTTTTCTTTTTGTATACACTATTCGTTTGTTTTTTATTTCATACTTAATGTTAACAAATTTTAAAACAAATTACAATTTTAAAGTTTATGATCCGTTAGTGCACTTTGCATATTTAAATACAGAACACTATGATGCTTTTATGCCTGTTGTGTTTTCACTTATTGTTTACTTTAGTTTTGTTTCAAACTTTTTAATGCTTTTTGTCAATTCAAACACAGAAACGCGGACCTTTTGGTATTATTTTGTTGTGATAAATCAAGACAATTATGTTTTTAATAAAAAAAGCCCAAAACAAGTTCAAAATATTTTTAACAAAAAAATACTTTTTATTAGATCAAAAACCAAATTTTGATGCTTTTTTTCTATTTTAATTTCAGAATTATTTTGAAAAAATATATTGTTTTTTCTGCGCTAAAATTGAAATCTTTATTTTTATGGAAAATATCAAAAAAATAAAATTTTTTAATTGTAAACTGGCAATACTTCTAAAAGTATCTGATATTTTAAAACAAAAAATTGTTTTATTTTTAATTGTTGTCGACAAACCACTTTTGTTGGGTCAAACTTTTATATTTTTTGTTTGTGTAGTTTTTTATTTGTTTCATTTTTTTACTTTTCATATTGAAACACACCTTTTGTATTCTCTTTTATTTGTTCAGTTTGAGTTTTTTCTTAGTGTTTATCAAATTTATCAAATTTTACGAGCTGCAAGTTTTTACGTTGCATGTTCGTGGTTTGCTACGGCAGTGTTTACAAGACACGCTAAAGCTTTTTACTTTAAAGTAAAACAATTGCTCAAAAACAGCAGAAAAAAACATTATCAAATTGTTTTTGACAAACAGCATCATGTTATTGATCAGATGATAAGGAAGCACAACAAAATTTGCTATTTAGTCGTTCGAGGCAGTGAAGATTTGTTTGGCCGTGTCATGTTCGTTTTTCTGCTTACGAATGTTCCAATCAATGTGTACATTTTTTGGCGCATCATCTTTCAAAAGCGAACACTAATCGATATATTTGTCTATTGGATTGTCATCCTCCTTCAAGTGGGAGCAGCAATCACCGTCTTTAGCCCGCTAGCTTACAGTTGT